CTTTTGAATTCGTCAACTACACAAGGAAACTCGATTTACAGAGGTTGATCAATTAGACCATCAATTCAAAGTAGAGGATAGCGGTTTTTAATCGTCATCTGAAGAAGTTGTTAAATTCTAGGTACAATCCTAAAGCTCAGTTTTTCACCTTCGCAGATAAGTTTGAGATTTCCAAGATAAAGTGTTTAATAACTAAGTTCTTTCAATGAAGTATGACTTGTTTGAAAAGTCATAAGGAAAACAAATATAGGAGTTGTTCGATAAGAAATAGGGAGAATAAATGAGGTGTTAACGAGGCAAATCAATGGTGTATTCTACTTCTCACATTCGGTAGCATCCCAAGTAAAATTTTGAGAAATGACACCAAAGGTATACATCCTCAAAACGTACTATACTACTAATCAACTTTACGACATGAACTAAAAAGGTATTCGCAGCTTTCTCGACACTGAAATCACCCTAATAGTGAGACATCAACTCATATTTCGATTCTACTATCTACCTGTGAAAGTGATCAAGAGGTGGCTAGTTGAAGAAGGTTTGATTACCTAAATAGGTAATATGGTTGACATAACCATGGGTTTACTGTCTTTAAACAGAGTTTGCCCCTAACTTTCCGACATTTAGTTTCTTAGGCTCTAGCAGTAACTATTAGTCAGTCTTCTAGTAAAGATCTGGTACTAGGAACTGGTGCCATAATTCTAGGGAATATACTTACGACTTTGGGGATTTCTACTGACTGTAGATATAACAATTCTTACTCCCGTGCCAATGCTCATCAAAATGACAAGTATAGCACCAACGTAATGTGGGAAATTTGTATTGGCTGGAGTGTTGTAAAGAAAATAAAATTTTCTAGTAATCTACTTTTAGAACAGACTTAAACAGAAGTCGATCTTCCACTTGAAGATCCAGAATGATCACTAATGTGTTTGGAAAAATTTGTGCTATCGAGGACCAAAAGTGATTATCCCAAAATGTTCGTTCGTCGAGTGCTACCCTGTAGCACCACATTGTCACTCCAGACATCTCTGGAAATGTTGGCGAAAATTAAAACTTCGTGAGGATTCTAATAAGTGGAACATTAACAGGTACTGCCAAGGAATCAAGACTATCGATGGCTTCCTAACTCAAAAAGTTTGGAAGAAATGACCAGATAGTAGTGGAATTGGTAGGAAATTCTCCCCCCGAGATACACAACTATCAATATAGTAGCCCTACTTCAGGGCTATCAACTTATCTCAAATCTACATCCTTCCTTGGTAAGAAAATTCTTCCCTTATAGTTTAGAGGCATTCACCAAAATGATCTTCTAAAATGTCGACAAGTCGACAAAACTGCCCAAAACTTAGGAAAAACTAACACATTTTTCATATTCGACAAGGTGGCAAGATTCGGAAATTAGGTTCAAGAATCAAGAATGCTTACATCACGCGTGTGATGAACACAATACTGCCCAACTTATGCTCTGATACCAAACTGACACATCCCGACCTGGATTGTCCACTAGGACTTCGAATCGAGTTATGATGGCCAACACCTAGAAGGTGACGAAGTCATAAAGTATAGTGATGTGGAATATGTGAGTAAATTTAAACCTAAAAGTGCCTACATACGAAAGTGCGCTGTGAGCGGAAATGAACCCATTTCACACATGACGTCAAAGCATAAGTAAAGTACAGTAGAGTGGATGGAAAATCATACCATCGAAGGTAATCTCCAATACCAAAGAGAGGAACAACTTTCATACCGGCCACGAAGTCCAAAAGTGGACGAAAGATGGTCAATTTTGCCCACAAAGCTGACGGGTGCCTAAAGCTTCCCTAAGTCAATTTGTCATCTACGGTGGTCCAACGGGGTCAAGGTTGGTCAGGATTTTCTCCTAGGATGATGGGCTACAAAGCCCAAGTGGTGGCATCGGCCATCGCTTTGCCGATTTGCCTAAAATTTGAAAAGAGTGGGAGGAACACTGTTGATTTCGTAAACTTTCGTGGCCTCAAACCGCCACATACCGTGGTTAATCAAGGTGGTTCTTGGGTGGGTTTTGTAGAGGGGAATGAGAGCTTCAAGATGGTGATGGTGGCGGCGTCGAAAAACTCCACCAGTGTTGGCCAGAATCGACCTTGGAAAATAGGAGGTTGAACTGGGTTGTGTGGTGTGCACGGGTTGAAAGGGAAGGGGATGATGTTCTTCTCTCTCTTCCGGATTGGCCGATCCCTTTCTCTAATTTCTGATTGGTCCTCCTTCTAACATATCTAATTGGTCACTTAAACAAAATAGCTGATTGGCCCCCTTATTCTTGCTTAAAATCTGATTGGTTTCTTTCCCACAAGGTGGGAGTTCAATTTATTTATAGCTAAACTTTAAAAAACCAATTTCAAACGTCCGTAACTATACCGTTATAATCTTGACTTGCAAACGGCTTTCGCCTATGCATTCGTGACAATGATTACTACGCAAATACTCCAAAAGAATGACTCATACATCTCTCTAAAAAATGGCCAACGGAAGTCAAAATCCTTGCCTCTAGGTCGTTTTTGTCAATTCACGCTTTTAAAATTTATAAAACGTAAAATTAGGGACATGTTGTCACAATTCACATCACAACACTCACGAGGGTAAAATCGTCATTTCCAAGCGTTCAAGGATAAAATATATTTTAATTTGGGACGGGTCGTCACACTTAGTATATTTTGGATATTATTTTGGAAGAATTTTGATACTTTGAATTGTATTTTCAATATAGGACTTTTGACTTCCTCTGGAGCAAAACGTGGCCCAATGGACAAATTTTAGAGTAATTCCAGTTGGAGGACGTTCGTGAGTCACTTGGCTTGATCGTGTGATAATTTGGAATTTTTCTACCTAGCGGTGATTTTCTAGCAATAAAATAAAGGAGCGATGTGCAGTGCTGAAATAGTGATGTATTGGACTTGAATTGCATTTTTGGAGTCCAAGATGACCTTTGTTGGGTTCGTGGCCTTCTGGAGATGTGTTCAGAACATCCTGATCTTTAAAACAAGCTATCCTGGGCCGGATTTGGAGGAAATTTGAGGCTAAAACGTGGCTGGACAAGTACTTGGCAGATTCTCCTAGCTTAATTAGGATTTTATTTTCTAAGATATTTTATTATTATTCTTAGTTTCCTAGTTGGAATAAAGGACATGGTTTTTAGGGATTGTGCGTTGGTTTTAGGGGGATTTAAAAAGGTTTGGCCAGCCCTAGTTTTCTCTACACTTTCTTTTATGAAACTTTGGAGACAGAGCGAATTGCTAGGGTTCTTGAAGATTTTCAACTTTAAGGTGTTTTCAATCCTTTTCTTAATCATATTTTCTATGATTTTAATTATGATTATGCATAACTAATCCGTTTTGCTAGGGCAAAGCCTTTAGCCTTAGCATGAATATGTAATTTTTATTTAATTGCTTATGATTGATTGCATGCATACTTTGAATTATTGATCACCGTAATTAAAACTATCTAATTGTCTTAATGCCTGATCACCATTAGGATCTTTAGAAAAGTAATTTGATGCAGTTTTGATCGGAATGTTCCTTGAAATTGACGCTTACTTCTTATGATTAATAATTGTAATTTCACTTAAGATGAACACCACGTCATAAGCGTTGCATGGTTTTTCAAAGGGTTTTCATAAAGCATAATGAGTCTTTCATGTTCATATTTGATCCGAACGTCCGGACGGGTTGTGTCACATCCCGGCCCGGGCCCCCACCACATCCCGGGCTCGACTCCACCATAGCACAATATTGTCCGCTTTGGGCCCCTACCACACCCTCATGGTTTTGTTTCTGGGAACTCACACGAGAACTTCTCAGTGGGTCACCCATCATGGGATTGCTCTCGCATGAACTCACTTAACTTCGAAGTTCCTACGGAATCTGAAGCCAGTGAGCTCCCAAAAAGCCTCGTGCTATGTAGAGATGGAAATATACATATAAGGCTTACAGGATCCACTCCCATGAGCGAAGTGGGATGTCGCAAGTTGCATGTTAGATATAAGTTCTATGTTGGAGGTTCCAAGTAGAATATAAATTAGGAAAACCTAACCTTCAAAATTCATAAGATTGCTAGGTGATGGTGGAACCCTACTGCTTTTATAAATTGGTATTTAAAACTCTTTTCTTTTATCATATTTGTTTTTTTTATTTAAAATTCGTTTTTAATATTACCCAAAATCAAAATCTCTTCTCTCAATTTTTAATTTTAAGAAGTTGATTAGGAATTGTTTTTGCATAAATTATTAAAATAGCCATTGAGGAGAATGACCTTACATGAGCATCCATACTACAACATCCTTGTATTCTTGCAAGTGTTTCATGTGATTTTGACCCTATTTGCATAGACGGTGAAATTTGCTATCAATCACCTGGATTGTGATAAAACAATAGCAAGTGTAAAGGAAATATATTTTTGGCCACGGTTAAAGCGGGACATTGAAGCAATTGTACGAAAATGTTATACTTGTAAGGTTTCTAAGGGACAAGTTAAAACACTGGTTTTTGCATGCATTCGCATGTTCCCAACAACATTTAGAAGGATATGGCTATGGACTTTGTGCTCGGGTTGCCTCGTACGCAACGAGGTGTGGATTCTGTTTTTGTTGGATGACAGGTTCTCCAAGATGGCTTACTTCATTGCTTGCAAGAAGATCGCTGATGCATCAAACATGGCCGAACTGCTTTCTAGGAAAGTGGTTCGATTGCATGAAGTAGCTTAAGTCTAACTTATGATCGAGGCACCAAGTTCTTGAGCCATTTCTAGATTACTTTGTGGCGATTGTTTGGTACTGCCTTGAGTCGCTGTATTATTGCCCAACCACAAACTGATGTCGAAATCTTGAGAAGTGGAAAGTACTAATATAAAACAAATGGTCGAGTAGATTTGACGTTCGAACTTCGTTTCGGATGCACAATACCTTTCCGTTGCAAGCTCACCGCTTTGCCGTGACATAATAAATTTTAACCATCCGAGATCAGTTATACCCCAAAGCAGCGTTTGAAAGCTTGTAATAAAAATCAAACTTTTAGTTTTCCGCCCAATTTATGTCACAAGCAGCGTTTGGAAGTTTGTAATAAAAATCAAACTTTTAGTTTTCCGCCCAATTTATGTCCACTTCAATTTCCCTAAGACCCCTGAACTTCCCCAGGACTGGGTAAGTTTATTAAGCCTTTCCGCTTCTGTTGTAATACACATTCAAGAATTAATCAAATTACACCCTTCAGATTTCCAAAACAATGTTCTTCTGGGGTTTACGTTTGTATCCTTGTTAGCTTGTACTGCATCAGCTATGGATCTCTCAATGACGTCTTCAAATTTACATGCGCGAACCAAGAGGAGGATCAGCCTGAGGAAAAACGGATAGCTGAATCGCACGGTTTTTTGTCAAGTAAAAACAAGAGAACGGGGGACTCCACAACCCTATCTGCCTTGAGAGATAAAAAGGTATAGCAGATTGTTGGGAGAAATCTGCATCCTCCGGATCTCAACTGAACACATTTTACAAGAAGACAATTTCTGCACAAACAAAAATTGAGGGAACGATCAGCACAAGGAAAACAATTATCAATCCAAATCAGTCATGATAATTGACAGCGATGAGATAAATACAGACGAGAAAGAGCGAGCAGATACCAAAATATTGAAACTTATTGTGTTTATTTAGTTGTGTACCAAGAAATACAACTTCTATTAACTTTACAGCAACCCTACTTCCAATTTTATTACACATGGTCGGGTATGCCTGAAAACAAAATTGTGTGAAACCCGAAACTAAACAGGCTTCCCTACCTGATTAATGGTCCGTTGTAGGAACCTAAGTTAACCAAAAAGTACCTAAGAGACTGACACCTTCCGTGCTGAACCTTATATTTCATAATGTACTTGTGCAATATTTTAGAAAGTGCACTACTGGTTACCTATCTTACTATTCACCTTAGTTAACACACTTACAATTCACCTACCTTGTATCATTCTCCACTCCAATCTATTAACTCGCTGCGAGGGGCACAAAGCTTGCTTGCTCGCTCTTTGGATTCAACATCATTAACCACCCCCCGACATCTAGGGAAACCACAACAACATGCCAGTTGTTCATCTATTGAAAAGAATCTGCGATAATAAGAACGTTAGCCCATGGAATGAAATAATAAAGAAAAATTGCATACAACAAGAATCGAGGATAACCTATAATCATATGTAAGTTCTTCCCATCGTTTAATGTCTCTCTTTGCAAATATAATTATATGCTCATCATTATTAACACTAATGACTCTTGAGTAGCAATTTGGCTGCACACAACAAAGGTAAAGGTGAGTAAGTACAAAGTTAAATAAACAAATAAAAAGCTTGTACAGAACCCATCCAATTTAAACTTAGTAATTGCAAAAGTGTACACAATTTAAAAATATAAATTTTATGATTTCCACACCTGAAATGGCAACAAACCCGTGTGTCAAATGTTATACGAGGTTACTTGAGAACAAACACCTCTCCCTTGATGAATTTTTGTTTCCAAAAGAATCAATACAAAAAGGAAAACTTCTCATCACTAAATTCTTTCATTAACTCATTATGTATCAAAGAGAGGCATCATTCTCCCATAATTTCTTACGTTTACACATTTAGCTTGTTTATTAAATGAAAACGATATCAAATCAATCTACATTTTGACTCTTTGTGATGCATTACTTTGTGAGAAGCCTAAAGGGATGTCTACTTATCATGAATGAAAAAGTGCATGTTGAACGTAGGTATGCCATACCTGAACAACCATGTATGATTCTCATTCATGACTTCTCCCATTCCAAATAAGTAAACGTGCCCTAAGTTTCTAGAGGGAGGAAAAGAGACCTGTTGCTAGGTTGATGTGCTGTGCTGGCAATATTTTTATGGGTTTTAAGTTTCGAAACAAGTAGGAGATTTTTAAGTGTGGGGGTGGGGATGGGCATGTATTTACGGGAGAGTTTGATTCTGGACATCCTTGTGAAGTTCAGTTCCTACTGGATTATGTTCAGTATAAAGACAATTCAAGATGACAAATACTTCACAAAAGTAAAACTAAATAAGCAGATAAGGGTTGGCTAATACGCACTTCACAAGAGTGATTAATTAGGTGAGCAATGCTTCCAGCTCTTGTGGCATCAATGACTCGTTCATCATCAATCCGGAACATATAAGTCCCAGCCCCCTGCATGGGAAAAGGTAAGGCTTTAGAGCGCCATTTCTTTCTCATTTCATACTCAAGCATCAACAAATGTAAAAGTTTCTAAACGGGAGATAAATATGAAGTACTATAGAACCTTACAAATACTAGAAAATCCAAAACTCGAGTAACAAACATACCCATAATAGATACGCCTGATTGTTTCAATTCTCCATAAATTTGGGCTAGATTTTAATGAATATTCATTCCTATAGCTTAAGTGGGCAATAACAAAATTCAACAATTTTGAGGAAACCCCCAAAGTTGGGATGCAACCCTAGGAATTATGTGCAAACCCCTAAAAATTTTGTTGAGCATGATGGAATCTAAAATAGTAGCGCATGATTAGTGGACTTAAATTTAGGAGAGGATGCACCTAGCCAAGCTGCTTTTCCATGCAAATAGAATTAAAAATTACATGGCTAAAGGAATTCTTCAATCTCGAGAAACCTCTTTCACTAAAGCTTGGGGAGTTTATGGAAGTTCTAATCCTAAATAAAGTATCAGTCTATTAATACAGCTAGCGCTTACAACTACGGCTCACATTGGTTGGACATTTTAATAGTTTACACTTGCAGGTTACAGATCACATTGGTTTGACACTTTTACTGGTTTACACTTGGAGACCTGCACGCTCAAGGGAAGACGGCAACATTGACTTCCATCTAGCCTAGATTGCATAGTAATTATCCATGAACAATTTTGATATCTATTCTGACGTGATTTGTCATGCAACAGAAAATGCATGCAAAAATAATAAAGCCTAAGTTCCAATGAGCACAGCAATGACTTTAGTACATAACTTACCACCAATGAATTATATATGAAGTGCTCCCTCCTGTCAGCTACAGGAGGTCTAACAAGTTCGCCTGTGTATTCAATCACCTACAAGAGATATGATCAGTATTCAAAGTATTCTTTTACAGGTTCAAAATATACTAAGAAAATTACTTTACCATGTCCCCTGCTCTATGTGGGTGCTTTGCAAAGATGCCAAAACCATGAATTCCCGATTTTCCTGTAGTTAAAAGAAAAGAAGTTCCGAAAGACAAATTTAGAATAATAAGTAAAATATAACACTAAATGATGTGACAGTCCTACACGACCAAGGTCATGAAAATATGTATGACAGGAAAAATACTCGAAGAAATAAACTTGGAATACCAACATATAAGAATACACATTCTCTATTCAAAATAGAAAAGAAAATATAAAATAGCAGTCACGAAACTGTTTGATAAGTAGAATAACAAGTGTCTACAAATAGCCACATGAGTTAAATTGGAGAGATATTTTTAAAATTATATATGCATTTACTATATAAGCTCAAAGTGTTACAACGTGCTCCTAGAAAGACCTAGGTATCTACTAGTAGCTTCAAACTAGCAGCACAATATTGTTACCAAAATAAATTACAAATCTAAAGAACCAGGTGGGATATTGGTGAAGATAACCAATGTGAACATAAATAGGAGAAGCTGTTATTTACATACAACATTCTTAACTGTTTCTTCAATGAAATCTCGGATAACCATATGAAAGAAAATTATATCTTACCAAATGCTAGTCTTTTTCGAAAGGTGTCCCTCATGTATTTATACTTCTCAGCCATAGAAAGTATGTCATTAGGAGCATCAAGCTGGGAGGCTTTCAGCCTCTGAAGGCTAGAGCAGAACTTAGAGCCATTCGGAGGCTGTGAATTACTCGACAATTGGTGTTGGCTGTAACCACCAACTAAATAAGGCTGGTTCTCGACAAACAAACGCTTTAAGGATGCAGCAGCTATGGCTTCAGGCTCTTTTCTCCCTCTTCTACAAAAGTAGTTGTATGGCTCTGCCCAGGGGTTGGATTGAGAGATTGCAACAAAAAATTAATGAATTTCAAAATAATAAATTCAACAAACTGAGTATCTAAATCAATGATTCAATGATAGTTGTTTATGCACAAAATCGGTTGGACTTTGGATCAACTTAGATCCGACTGTAAATCACACAAAAGCATAAGAACACAAGGATACATATCGGGGTTTACCCCGAGTTGAGGCTACATCCATGTTGGTGTAGATCTAGTTTGGCTGTGTAAATGTGGGTTACAATGTAAATAGAGGCTGCTTGTTGCCTTTAAAAGAGTAGAGAGGCTAGGGTTTTTACTCTAAAGTCTAGAGTGAGGGTGAGGGATCCCTTTTATAGGACAAGGGTTTCCCTTCCCTTTTACATAGTCCATGGGCTAAATCATGAGGCCCAAATATGGTACAACAATAGTGCATACACTATAAGAGCATTCATAAAATAAGATCGCAAACACTACCGAATCTCATTAATTAAACAGGACAGATAAACATGCACTCAATTGTTTATTATCCTACAGCATATGACACTGGACTCGATGTTTAATAAAGACTAGTTACATAAAAGATCAGTGGAAAATATGGAATTAAGTATCGATCCCGTAAAGCATTTAATCATCTTTCAGTATGATCTGGAATAAAGAAATAAAGCGATGGTGGCAGCAAAGGCCAAATGAGTAAATGAGTGAGAGATGATGAGGGATGGTAAGATATGTAGGAAGTCATACTGACAATAGAGTCAAGTTCATTTGGAACATGATGCAAAACACGAACAAGCAGATTAAATCATAATCAACTTTGACTCTTTCAATAAATAAAGGGTAGCAACCTCAAATATGGATGACACACTATATCGTAGAAATAAAAAATAAATAAACAATTATGACCACAGCTCATGGCTTCATAGTACAATTTTCCTTAAAAAGACGCAATATTGCAATGACCATCTGTGCAAGAACTGCCAATACTTCAAGAAAGACAAATCTTCTCATAACCTGGGGACTGGAACCAGTACATAACCAAAAAATACAAAAAATAAAAAAAATAAAAAAAAAGTGGAGAAACAATATGATTTATAACATCATATCTGTCAAGTGTACCAAAAGCGACGCAGAAATGTAAACAAACTTGTGAGGTAATTTGCAGTAGGATTATCAAATTTCATCTAAAGTAGACTGATTATACATTTACATACCCGTACGAGCACATCCAGATGGATTTGTTGGTGGAATGTATTCTGAGCACTGGCGCCCGGTTCGACCAATACGGTTATCAGCAGCTGAACGGTCATTTGTTGCCTGCCTATGCTTCTTGCAGAAGGAAAGAAGACGAATGCACTGCTCTACTTCATCATCGTCCACAGACAGTAGATGTAGTCTGTCCTCATCCTCAAGCTTCGTAGTAATAATAATAGAATAAAAATAAATAGGAACAAATTAAGAACCACTTGAGGAAAAAATTCCATCGAAATAATTCAGTAATGCATCCAGCAAATTACTGAAAAAAATAAGAGTAACAAAAAACCAATAATGTCAAGTAAAAATGAGAAAAACAAAAATAAAAAAAAAAACTACCTCAACACAAAGACCAGCGGCTCGCGCGCAAAGTGGGTGATATGCCGCACAACAGGTATGGTTTGAACACTGGAAGGGACAAAAAAATCAGATGGTTATTATCAATGAATTTTGACTTTATACAGTTAAGAAGGAAAAATAAATCAGGGAAGATACAAAGATGCATATAATATAATATATATATAGGAAGGTAGATATAACATAGAAAATAAGTAAAGGGCGTATGAAAGCCAACCAATTTCTAAATAGATGCTACAATCATGTATGGCACAAAAAGAATACAAATTTAACCTTTACACATGATATTCTAAAATGGATTAAAAGTATATTTTTCTCTAAGACAGACTAACCCTTTTTTCCAAGAAATGTAACACCGAATAAAGAAGATTGCTTACTAGCATAAGAAAATTCTAACAAATACTCAACTCCGGAGCATTTATTATGTTTATTATTTCACTTGGACCAGGTACCCTTTTTTCTTCAAAAATAAAGCAGATTGATGACCAAAATATAAGTAAAATATTCTAGAAATCCCTCAATATGAATCATTCATTCAGTGAATTTCCAAAAAGACAAGACAAAACATTCAAAGTGTTTCTTCCCTGCAGGTTGCAACAAAATATTCAGCCAGTTTGACATCACGATACATGTTATAAATTCAACAAATTGACCAGCAGTTTACTGTTATAGGAATATAAATGAACTTACTTGAATGCAGGCTCCATACGAAACGCCACAGATACTACATAATAGCTTCCAACGGTCCTGTTACAAAACAGAAGATTAGTGGAGGCGGGAATATCTTGACAGTGGTTTTTTGCCATTTTGATCCCGAACAATCAAAAGTATATGAGACCACTGCCATACAAATCCTCACAAGATGAACATAAAAAAGGTGACACACGTCAAAGAAAATGGGGGAGGGGCGAACAAAAGGAGGCAGCCATAGTGGTGTGGAAACATATAATGTGAACAAGGAAATACCTTATTGATTCTGCTAAGCCCATCAATTGGCTCCATTCTCTTAACATCAGATAGGCAGGTTTCTGAAACATTTTCAGACCATTAACAGAAAAATAAATACACATTCAATGAACAAAAATGGAAACTGCATTTTCATGAACCTGGTATCCATATGGCACAAGCTAGATGAGCCCAGCGCCCGTCAGTTGTAGGCTTCATTGCACCCCCTGGACAAAAATCAATTCAATAATTTAATGATGTGAAATCCATGGCGTCACAAAGTTCAAAGATTTAATGAATTATAAGTACCTATTACAGGACAAAGGCAGCAAGGTGGTAGAGGTTCAGGAGCCCCAGGCCGACATAAGTTGCATAACCATAGTACCCCACCAACAGGTTCCAATTCTCCATAGCATCTTGCATGGACCTGCAAAACATTACTACTGATGAAAAAAAGGAACCGACCAGCAAACACACGACAAAGTAGGAATGAAGCATTTCAAATAGCCTTGAAAAAGAAATTTGGTTGAATATGACAAAATCTATCTTGAATTTCATAGTTTAACCACCATTAACAGTACTGAGATCCCCACTACCAAAAGACCCTTACCATCATTCTGCATTTGTCACACTGCAGGAACAGGTTGTTTTCATACTCCTATAAACAAAACACCAATTAGCAAACCAATAGGGAAAAGAGTTTAAACGAACTCCCACTTAAAAATAAAACACAGCAACTAGCGGAAAAGACAGAGAAACAATAGATATGTAGTAAATCTTTTAAAGTAAAGAAACAAGATAAAATAAATACAGCAAACCAACAGACAACTATTATGCAGAACAGCAGAAAAAAGAATGTCAGTTATAAAATGATGTGGAAAAGCTTTTGGAGATTACCTCATCCATGTGGCAAACACTGCATTTATCAAGGTCCTTCCAATCCACACGAACAGGTCTGTAACCAACAGGAACATCTCGATATCTCCTAGAGGCTAACTTGCATTTGGGTAATTTTGAAGAAAGCCTGGATTTTGATAACCTCTGCCAAAACCCCAAATGTTTATATTAGGCCTAGAAATCAAGGAATAAGGGCAGAAGCAGAAAAAGCTGTGTAGCATCTTAAAATGGAATGGGATTCAACAATTTACAACATGTATCCAAAACAACTACTAGTCAAGAACCATTAACTAAGCAACAGAAAAGATTCCACATTTTCAACAGATAAGTATATTGTAAAAATGATATAATAAAGAAGAATATTGATCTGAAATTACATGTGTGCGCACAAATGCATATATACAAGCAAACACATGCATATACAATTTATAATATATCTTCACGGTTGACATGGCATTTATTCTATATCCAACCCAAGAGTACAGTAGTTCGCCCAGATTCCCAATCCTTACTTTGATACTACTCATTAGAGAGGTACAGTACTAAACAGTTGAACATGCTTAAAAATTAAAAGTTATAACAATCGTTATTACAAAAATAAAATAAATACTTGATCTTGACGGAACAAATAAATAAAAATAGGCATCAAAGCCCAAGAAAAAAATGAAAAATAAAAGGTTCACATTTTATTCACAAATATAACGGTAGTAGAAACTTAGTAGTGCTAATGCACAACTCAGCTTACATACCTGAATAAGTTTAGCAACTTCTGGTATAGAGAAACCAAACATATGAGAACCAGATTTATAGGTCCCTTCCAATCTGCCTTCAGCATTGCCATTAGAGCCATCAAATGAAGTGTTTTGTGCTTTCCTTATCCTTTTGTATATTTTATTCCAGCAAGCTGATGGTGTAGATCCTTTGAACTGGAAGAGATGAGCGGAAAGGAAAATAAATAACACAACAACATCGGCAGATATTCATTCCAGATACTTTTTTGTGCAACATACTCCTGTACTCAACTAAGGAATCACAAAATAGAAGATGAAACATATAACAAGACAACGTCCTTTTATTACGTACTACCTAGGCAGTGCACCATAATTAGAAAGAGAGCATACACTGCTGTCATTGCAAGTGGATATGTATTCTGAATTGTAAATAAATATGTATTCTGGATTGTAATTGTAGACCATATTTAGGGGATTAAGTTTAAACTAAGCAATGATAAGTTACTTAACTGTTGATCAGATGCCTATATACATTACGAATAAAACATAAGTGCATTTACTATATAATTCAAGAAGATTATCAGCAAAAAAACCCCCGTGGAAGTAAGAGGTATAAGTACAGCTTAACAGGTGGTGAAGCTATACACAAATAATTACACATCGGGAAAAGAAGTACACGGACACTAACCACCTAAATTGATTTTAGATTTTGAGAAATGTAAGATCCAATATTCAGTATCAAAGTGATCCAGGAACTGAGCCTTTTTGGAAGACAAGAAGGCAAGAAGCAACAATTTCGAATTCAGAGTCATCAACCTATCTGGTAAAGTTGTTACTCTGAGCTAGGCCTATAAGAAAGTGCGGAGGAGAATAAAAAGCACAAATGAAAAATCTTCAAGGGAAACAGTGGTAATCCATGGGTGCAAATTTCCAATCCCAAATACTACCCAACAATCTGTCTCTGCTAAAATGGGATTACCAGATGGCACACGAGTCATCAACTCCGGTAAAGTTGTTGCTCTGAGCTAGACCTATACGCAGCATATATTATACATGCAATCGAGTCTTACTCGACGTCTGAGATATCAAAAGTGATTAATAACATATGAAACAATAAGAATACAAGTAAATTATTGAGGTACAAACTGATAACCTGGTGAAGGAACTCAAAGAGACAATCACATACCATCAAATGCACTCAAAATTGTAACTGGAGAAAGCCTAACCTGCTCTCCTCTATCAATTGTCACTTTGAAGAGAGGTCGAATATTTGATTCGGTATCTCTCAACACCTCCATCTTATATAAGGCAAGTACACTTGGATCTGATCCAAAAACTTATCAGAAGCGAGATTGTTACAAGACTAATATCACTGCAATAACATTGGCCTTAACATAAATAAAAAGAATAACTTTAGTATGAAAAGCTGCCTATATAAAAGAGAGAGTCCCACCTGTAATTGAAGTAAATTTCCTCAAGGCAGTATAACCTTCAGGCCAAATGTATTTCTCATCCTGAAAACATTCCGAGTCTCTGACAATCTTTCCTGCAAGAAAATTCCATATGGTGGTGAGTAGAATGGAAGCCTCAAGAACCAACTGGATATACTTTCTTATAGATGGTGCTGAGTAGAATGGAAGTCTCAAGAACCAACTGGAAATATTTATTTCTTATACATAGGAAACAGAAACCTTTATTAAGATATAAAAGGTACAAGAAAAGTGGAGTCCACAACTGAGAAGCCTGTATATTACAGAACACCTGCTCTTCAAACAGAACAAATAACAGAAAAAAGAAGAAGATAACTCTCTAGGCTTTGATACGGTAGATTACCGCAAAGAAGACTAAAACAAACTCCACCCTATAAACAACCCAGCTCCTCAATGGAAACGTCCTTGAAACACTCCTATTCTCTATTATTTCAATCAAAGAATAATTTGACATCACTAGTAGATGATCCAACCTTTCAGCATCCTTCCTACACATGACACACCAGTAGGGAGAAATAGAATGAAGGACGCCTTCTTAAGACCATGTACAATTATTACTTTTCCCGAGAGTGATTAGCCAAGCCAACACCCATACATTAGTAGATACTTCAGTTTTCCATATGACAAGGGAGGGTATGAAATTAGGTAGAGTAAGATATCCAAAAGGTACCTGGAAACGGACTTGCACGAAAATTCCCTGATGACTCAAGCCTCCAAATTCTCTTATCAACTCTATTTAGGACCAGCAAGACCGTTTCAAGGTCTGACAGTCAAGACTGGAGCACTCTCATTCATGTTCATTAAGATATCTTAGAAACCCAAGATCCCAACTAAGAGGAAACAAAGACAAATTTACACCTTACAAAATATCAATGAAAATCTATAGAGATGAGGATAAAGAATAAGACCACCCCAACCCTATTCCCAAAACTGCAGGGTGATGCAAAAGACAGAAACGCCTTAGAAATATCTGTCCATGGACACTAACTAGAGCCTCTAGCCACAATCTCTGGAGCCCATCCATTACATCACACCAAAGGGAAGTCAATTCTGCTTTGAATCCCCAACAGCCACTTTCCAACCAAAACTTCATTCCTCTCTACTAAATTTCCTACCCATAACATTCTTTATCCTTCACTCGAGGATAAATTCAAATCAGGACAAAAAAGGTTTAATATTTTATAATTCTATATACAGAAGTTAACAATGTCATAATTAATAAAATACCAGAAGTTAATTGGATATAATTCTTTATACAGAAGTCAATAATTAATAAACTACCAGTTATTAAGTAATTTCTATGAACTACCCGATCTTAAAGAATAATTTTATAGAAACTATTGAAATTAATCCATAATTTCTTGTCTGAACATCTCTAAATCAATTAAATACTAAAAACAGAAAAGAAAAAAAATGTTGGCAATCAGGATGGGGCAACCTTTTCTCATACATTGTTTTCCTCAAGAAGTGGAGCCTACAAAATGGAAAATAACATTCCCTCTCCCAATCCCCCTCCCCCCAGGGCTCAGCATGGATTAAACCCAATACCTTCCCTCCCTTTGATGGGGGGAAGGTACAAATTTGGCTACAAAACTAGTAGCGGTTCCTCACACAGTTGGGATTCAGAAAATCTAGCTTTGAAGAATCAAAATGCGTTCAACAATTATAACATCAAAATGTGGACAATGCATGGGAACCATCCAGATTATATTATATAATGTCAACAAAGAAGTACAAGAGTATAAAGAATTACCTAGGTTTATTATCTGCAAATCTCCGATCACAAATGGAGAAGTTCCAAGGTAATCCAGTGTCCTCGGAATCCCTGCATCATCAAAACATCCTTCATCAGAATCTGCACTCACTTCATCCTCTCCACTTATACTTTCACATTCATCAATGTTAATTCCGTTTTGCAGCCGTAGCATTCTTCTTGGAAGCTTTTGTTCATTGAGATACCTGATGAAAACAAAAGATTACCCAGTTATGCAATAACTAAAAGGTCTTCATACTGCACTGAGAAAGAAATTTAATCAGGTTAAACCCTGTATCATACAAATGATTGGGATAATTTGAATGGGTACAAACTACAAACACAAGAAATTACATAAATATAAGAAAAAAACTCAATGCAGTCATTACTACTTAAAGCTATGTAGGGTGATGGATGCACATATTAAAAAATTACTCATTTAAATCTCATAGACTCCAAGTCTAAAAGCATGCATAATAATGTTTCAAACACATAATTGTTTTGTGCATAAATATTAATTAGAGTGAGTACACACAGTCTCATCAAAACTTGCCTCCTAGCCTATTAGGTCATTATATACTTGCACAACGTATCAAAGCGTGTACAGATAGGGTCAAAACTACAATAATCTCAAGATGCCCAATTTGCGATGGACACGTGATTAACAAATGAGAACATTTTAAGCAGGTTACATTAACAAATGAGAACAATTGCATGATTATAAATTGATTAAATTTACGAGTTTAGCACCATGAAGAAATTAAAAGGTATTGTAAAAAATTACATAAGATTACATTTTTGCTTCTTCCAAGCTTTTCATGAATCCAGGCTTCTTGCACTTCAAATGGAATGAAGAAAGAAGTCCTTTGAGAAATGAGATTGCTTGTTTCACTTTAATCCTGTATAGATAACAACAGTAAAAAATGATGTCACGTTAAAAATGGAAAATTCAGGTATAATATGCAATTAAGTGCACAAAATATAGATAAAAGTTCCTTAGATGTCAAAGAATTACCTTGCAAAGTCATGGGTACCAAAAAACTGCACTGGAACTGATATTCCTCCCAAAGTTTTGCTTAAGCCTTTACGATCACCAATAAGGGATTCATCCACCACAACTGCTGGCCACATAGCATAACCTGCACTACAGCAGTTGATAGAAGCTTGTGTGAAATCCAATAATTGAAATCATCAGTTGGTGCGAGCTCAAAGGAATAAAAAATAGATGCATAACAGTGGAAGAAACTCACAACACATGTAACTGAATATTTGTATCTATGATTCAAAAAACCTATTGTCTTTATATTAAATCAGACAACAGTCAGGGAAGACGAAATGATCTAATAGCCATAGTTTTATGCTTTCACTCAAAAACAAAGCAATAGAAATTAGATTATGCAGATAATTGGATACTTCACTGTTAACAATTCCAACCTAGTTTTGAGTTCAATCAATGCGATATGATATTTATTTCATGATTCTGATTTTGATGAACACCGTTGACTCTTTCCTTTCTTTCTTTTCAATAAAAGTTTGTGTTCTTATCCACAAAAACAAATATATATTAAGAAAACGCAGGGATAATTAACATTAACTCTACAGTGGTTAACATCAGAAGGCAAGGAACCACTCAGGCCTAACACAATCAGAGCCCCAATGCTGCTCCTAAACCATAAACAAACATAGACCATGTTCAGTCGGGCCAAAGATCACTTAACTCCTGTTTTCGTCCACTAAACCTTACATTAATTGGAAATTAGAAAACATACTCTTAAGAAAAAACTGGTACCTACTATCTACAGAGGAGCCTCTGATTCATCTAGGACAAACCATCTAATATGTGTGCCTGAAAGGCCCAAGAAACAATTTTTTTTTTCCAATGCAAAGGGATTACCTTGTGATTTGTTATCATATATGACCATCCTCTCACTCAAGCCATAAGAAATATAATAACAAGTTAGAACAAAATCAAAAGAGTAGATAATCACACACCAGTAAGCTTGGCCCATACGATATCCCCAGGCTCTAGTTCTTGGCAGTCATCCAAACTCGCAGCCAACACAACCATTTCATTATAATCATAGACATCACTGTTTGTACTCTTTGGACTGCAACTCAAACTCAAACTTTCCATTTCTTCTCGAGAGATATAAAACTTGATTCTCTCGCTTGATAGAAGCAAATCCTCCTCATCAGCATCTTCATATTCAACCTACATTGCAAAATCCATAAATTATGGCTCCAACAAGTTTTCATGCCTTAAGTTTCACAAATTGTCTCAGGCGCTCTGAACATAAAAATGATTAAACAAAATCAGATGGGACGAATATGATAGAGCAATACATGATGTCTATTAGTGTCAGAGTTGTAACCCACAATGCGACCCGAATACCAATCAGCATCCAATGGCCAATAGACCTGTACTCAACAAAGCAAACGTTCAGAATTTTGCGACAAGCACAGCAATGCTATGCTCCTCACATACTCAAATAAAGATCAAAACTATAACAATTGTCAAAAAGAGCTTACAGAGAGCTTGCCTTGCATTCTAATCCAATAAAAGTTTTGGGATCGACATCTTTGAAACTCAACCTGTTGAAAATCAACCCTTAACACTCTCCCAATAATCATTCAAACATATAAGAGAAACCCTTTCGACCAAATAACAAAAAGATAAATAATTGGAACCCTAAACTAACACATACCCGACCCATTTCTTCACAGAAGGCGAATCCGAAAGAATTTTCTCACAGTTAGAAGAAGAATTCCGCTTCTTGAGGCCCAATTTCTCTCCTTTTTTACTGCCATCGAGTTTCGGATTGCTACGAGAATCCCTCAACCGAGGACCCTCCAAATTAGACAGAACACTAGAATCAACCCCCAATTTGAGTAACTCGTTAAAGCCGATGTTTCTCTTCTTCTTGGTCTCCGAAATCCTCTCGAATTCACCATCGACATCATCGACCGCCTCAATCTTCACCGCCGGCGGCTCATTCCGGGCACGCAAAGCATCGAAGAAGGAGGAGCAATGACGAGGCCGCTTGGCCCGGCGGGAGTAGACATTGACAAATGAGGGTTTGGGAGAGGGCTTCTGAAGATTCTGATCGCCGGCTTCGCCATCGTCGAAGTCGTCGAGCTTGCGAGCTTTGACCTTCTTGGACATGACGTTGGAGGACCCGCTGGCGCTGACGCAAGGAGAGGTGGCGGAATAGACGTGGTTCAGAGATAGGTAGCGGAGGGGCGTGGAGGCGTGGATGTCGGTTGAGGCGTCGTCGTTTTGGTGCTTGAGGGGAACTGCCATGGAGAGAGAGCAAAGAGGGGGGCTTTCTCGCTTTTGCTCTCTCTCTAAATCTCTCTGGGGGGTTTGTGGGTTTGGGTGGATTAGGGTTGGGGATTTTAGGAGGGAGGGAGGGTTTTGCTCCCAACTATCAGTTTCCCGCCTGCAGTAAGAGGAGAGAGATTCAGAGAGATGGAACTAACTACTGAAACTCGTGTTAAAATGATGTACGGAATCCTTTGGATAAATTTATAACCGCATCCAAAGCAGATGTCAAATTTAATAGCTTACATGGCAATTTGATATATTGATAAAATGTGTTCCAACCAATGTATTAAAAGCGCGAGGCGTGGGCGAGACGTCGGAGGTGAAGCCCAGCCTAGGCATAAGGCATGAGGCGTGAGGCGTGAGGCGAAACCTTATAGGATTAAATTTTTATTTTATATATATGATTTATATATTATACATATAATTGTATAAAAAATAATACTATATAAAATAAACATCCATTCTCAATTTTATCATTCAAATTCATAGTCATTCAAAAGATAATATCATCTAAATTCATTATTCAAAGGTAATATCATCCAAATTCGTTTAAAATTGGAAACCTTACTATAAATCTGAAACGAAAAGACCTATATCCCATTTTCCATTAAATAGGCAACCTCATTTGTCAGTTTCATCTCCTCTCCCTCATTGGACAACTTTCCAAACAAGTCCCGACTCTTTGACCAAAAAAAAAAAAACAAACAAGTCCTGACTCAGGTCACACATTCCAACATCAAACCCACATTAAATTGGTATCCTTATCCTATCCCCTTGAGCCTTTAGCCTCCTCCCTCCTCTCTGTTTTTCTGCTTTCCCCAGAAAAGCTTATTGCCCAGATTTATTTCCTACTCCAGAAAAGCTTCCCTAGTCCACTGCTCCAGATTTATATCTCACCCAGCCTTATCCCAGAATGCTCCACAGTTCACACCAGTTTACAAAAAATCAAAAAATCAAATCCCTAACTTTTTCAGAATTTCAGAAACCCTAACCTTTAAAATTGGGGATTTGTGGGCTTGCTGACGGCACTGGGGTGACGGTGGCAGGGTGATGACGGCGGCGTGGTGACTGGGAAAGGACGATCAACTAGGGTGACGGCGGCTATGTGTTTTGGCGCACGAGAGAAGTGGGTGAAGAAGGCAGAGGATCGAAGGTATGGTGGAATGTGGATTAAAAGTGGAATCTAGACTAAAAACCCTTACCCAAACAGCGTTTTTTTTTTTTTTAAAAAAAAAAAAGGGCAGACAAGGCGCCTGGGACACCTTGAGGCGTGCCTTCGCCGCCTCGGCGTCTCCGGCAAAGCCTTTCGCCCACTCCAGCAAAACAGAGGCGTTAGCCTTAGCGCCCAGCCTCAAAGGCGCCCTAGGCACGCCCCGAGGCTAGTTTTTTAAAACATTGGTTCCAACCCATATGCCAAAATATTATGTCTTATCTATCTATTCTATCTATTATATTCTATTAAGAGAAGAGCCTTGTCAACTTTTTTTTTCCCACTTTTTTCAATTTTGCCCTCACTTTTGAATGCACACTATTGACATAAGGAGGGTAAAATAGTAATTTTATACCCTTTGACAAAACGACAATCATATCCTTATTTTTCCTATTTTACCCTCTTTTTTTTACAAAATGACAATCATATCCCTATTTTTCTTATTTTACCCTCACTTTTGATACACTATTTACATAAGAATGACAAAAATAATACTTATGTAATAGATAAAATATGCACTTATTTAAGAAATTGTCCCACCATCATTTTTCATACTTTTTAAAATTTTAAAAACTAATCACACTCCTTGATAAATAAAATAAAAAACAAAAAATAAAGAGAAATTGTTCACACACGTAAAATGTGTGCTCTCTGCTAGTATTAATTAAAGCAAACATGGATGGTTCTTAAAGATGAAATCAACAGCAAAGAAGCAACATGAGGAGTTTCTGGTTAATAAAATAAAAAGACGTTGCTGTCAAAATTCACCAATCCTATCATCCCCAATTGAAGGAAATCCTAAAATCCCAAATCCTTGTCATCTCTCTAGGGCCTCTTATTTTTCAGCATCTCCAACTCCCCAAATCCTTCGCCTTATCTCTTTAAGTCAACAATTCCAAACATGAAGGCACATAATAAGTTCTTAACAAAATTAAGAAAATTTAAAGACTATCTTTAAGTGCCAAAAAGCCTTCCTAAGCAACGCAAAAGTACATGGGCCGAACTCTTCCACTCCATTCTTCATCATTTTTGGTGTCTTAAGGCTTCTCTTAACAACTTCTCACTCTTCTTTACCAACTCCCAGTTAATAATAATATTATTATATTAAATTTATTAATTGACCTATTAAGAGAAGAGCCTTTGTCAACTTTTTTTGGGAACTCACCGACCCGGGACCCCACCACATCATGGGATTGCTTTCGCGCGAACTCACTTAACTTTGGAGTTCCTATAGAATCCAAAGCCAGTGAGCTCCCAAAAGGCCTCGTGCTAGGTAGAGATATGAATATACATACAAGGCTTACAAGATCCACTTCCCTAGGTGATGTGGGATATTACAATCCACCCCCTTAGGGGCCCAACGTTTTCGTCGGCAGAATTCCGGCCATAGATTAGCTCTGATACCAAATTGTCGCATCCCCGCCCAGCCCCCTACCACATCCCAGGCTCGACACCACCGTAGCACGATATTGTCCGCTTTGAGCTTGAACCACGCCCTCACGGTTATGTTTCTAGGAACTCACACGAGAACTTCCCAGTGGGTCACCTATCATGGGATTGATCTCACGTGAACTCGCTTAACTTTGGAGTTCCTATAGAATCTGAAGCCAGTGAGCTCCCAAAAGGCCTCATGCTAGGTAGAGATGGGAATATACATACAAGGCTTACAGGATCCACTTCCTTGGGCGATGTGGGATATTACAATCCACCCCCTTAGGGGCTCAACATCCTCATCGACACACTTCTAGCCAGAGATTGGCTCTGATACCAAATTGCCACATCCCCGCCTGGCCCCCCTACCACATCCCATGCTCGACTCCACCATAGCACGATATTGTCCGCTTTGAGCCCGAACCACACCCTCACGGTTATGTTTCTGGGAACTCACACGAGAACTTCCCAGTGGGTCACCTATCATGAGATTGATCTCGTACGAACTCGCTTAACTTCGGAGTTCCTATGGAATTCGAAGCCAGTAATCTTGCAAAATGCCTCGTGCTAGGTAGAGATGGTAATATACATATAAGGCTTACAGGATCTACTTCCTTGGGCGATGTGGGATGTCACATTTTTTTCCCACTTTTTCCAATTTTGCCCTCACTTTTGAATACACAATATTGACATGAGAAGGGCATAGTAATTTTGTACCTTATCCCTATTTTTCCTATTTTACCCTCTTTTTGACAAAATAACAATCATATCCCTATTTTTCCTATTTTACCTTCACTTTTGATACACAATATTTACATAAGGAGGACAAAAAATAGTAATTATGTAATAGATAAAATATGCACTTATTAAGAGAAATTGTTCACACACATAGAATGTGTGCTCTTTGCTAGTATTAATTAAAGCAAACATGGATGGTTCTTAAAGATGAAATCAATGGCAAAGAAGCAACATGAGGAGTTTTTGGTTAATAAAAATAAAAAGACGTTGCTGTCAAAATTCACCAATCCTATCATCCCCAATTGAAGGAAATCCTAAAATCCCAAATCCTTGTCATCTCTCTAGGGCCTCTTATTTTTCAGCATCTCCAACTCCCCAAATCCTTCGCCTTATCTCTTTAAGACGACAATTCCAAACATGAAGGCACATAATAAGTTATTAACAAAATTAAGAAAATTTAAAGACTATCTTTAAGTGCCAAAAAGCCTTCCTAAGCAACGCAAAAGGACATGGGCCGAACTCTTCCACTCCATTCTTCATCATTTTTGGTGTCCTAAGGCTTCTCTTAGCAACTTCTCACTCTTCTTTACCAACTCCCAGTTAATAATAATATTATTATATTAAATTTATTAATTGAACTATTAAGAGAAGACCCCTTGTGTAACATCCCACATCGCCCACGGGAGTGATCCTTAAATGTATATTCTCATCCCTACCTAACACGAGGCCTTTTGGGAGCTCACTGGCTTCGGGATTCGTAGAAACTCCGAAGTTAGGCGAGTAGCATGCGAGAGCATTTCCAGGATGGGTGACCCATCGGGAAGTTCTCGTGTGAGTTCCCAAAAACAAAACCGTGAGGGCGTGGTCGGAGCCCAAAGCGGACAATATTGTGCTACGGTGGTGGAGCAGGCCCGGGAAGTGGTCTGCCCCGGGCCGGGATGTGACATTTGGTATCAGAGCCTAACCCTGGCCACGTGTGTGCTGACGAGGACGTCGAGCCCCTTAGGGGGTGGATTGTAACATCCCACATCGCCTAGGGGAGTGATCCTTAAATGTATATTCTCATCCCTACCTAGCACGAGGCCTTTTGGGAGCTCATTGGCTTCAGGTTCCGTAGGAACTTCGAAGTTAAGCGAGAAGGGGGCTAGAGCAATCCCATGATGGGTGACCCACTGGGAAGTTGCTCGTGAGTTCCCAAAAACAAAACCGTGAGGGAATGGTAAGCCCAAAGCAGACAATATCGTGCTACAGTGGTGGAGCAGGCCTGGGAAGTGATCCGCCCTGGGTCGGAATGTGACACCTTGTGTAACGACTTGTCCCTAATTATTATGATTTTTATAATTTTAAAAAGTGAATTTATGAAAATGCCCTTCGAGGCAAAGTGTTGACTTTTGTTGACTGTCGTGTCGTGTCACGTAAGGTTCGTTTTCTTGGCGTATCCTTGTAGTATTTGTCGCTATGGACACGTGGGCGCACACAGATTGTGATTTGGAGTTATAACGAAATAGATATTAATGTTTAGAGTCAGGGTGAGGGTGAGTGACCAATCAGAAAGAAGGGTGAGGGTGAGTGACCAATTAGAAGGGAAGGAAATGAGGGGAAAGGAGAGAGGTGAGTGGCACCCAACCCAGACCTCCATCCCCTTCACCCGTATACCCATGTATCCGACCGGCGGTGCAGCTGGGTTCGAAGTAATTTCCGGTGATTCTCACCCATTTTT